TGAGGGGAGCAGCGGGCGGGTCAGGAGAGGTCTGCCGCGCCATGTGGTCACCTCCGGGGCAGGCGGGAATCGAACTCATGCAGAAGTGGCTTTAGATTCTCAGTGCTGTGCTTTAACCGGCTGCGCCACCGGGGAGGGCCTCATTGAGATTTTTATTGGAATAGCATTAAATAATAGTAATAATAGTATTATTACTTTTGGTAGGATGGCCATTTTAGTGATGTTAATTCTTCTCATCCATGAACAGAAGATGTTTTTTCATTACATTGTATCTTCTTGTACTTCTTTAATCAGTGTTTTATAGTTTTCTTTGTATAGGTCCTTCACCTCTTTTGTTAGGTTTATTCCCAAGTATTTGATTTTTTTGTTTGTTTCTATTATAAAGGGGATAGTTGTTTTGACCTCTGCTTCTTCTGATTGGTTGTTTGTGTACAGGAAGGCTACTGACTTTTGTGTACTGATTTTATAACCTGCATCCTTGCTAATCTGGTTAATTGTTTTGATTAATTTTTCTGTGGCGTTCTTAGGGTTTTCCCTGTGTATTACCATATCGTCTGCAAATAAAGATAGTTTTATTTCTTTCCCTATATGGATTCCTTGTATGTCTTTTTCCTGTCTTATTGCTCTGGCTGGGATTTTCAATGTTATGTTGAAGAGCAGTGGCAATAGTGGGCATAAAGAAGCAACAGAGCAACTAAACAGGCTAACTCCAAGTGAAATTGAAGCAGTAATTAAAACCCTCCCCAAGAATAAAAGCCCAGGACCAGATGGATTTACAAATGAATTTTACCCAACATTCAGCTAGTGCCTATCATGTACAAACTCATTCAAAAAAATCGAGAAAGAAGGAAAACTACTAAATACTTTTTGTGAAGCCAACATCACAGATACCAAAACTTAACAAACCAACACAAAAAAAGAAAACCTCAGATCAATCTCCGTAATGAACACTGATGCAAAAATCCTCAATAAAATCTTAAGCCAACAGAATCCAAAATACATAAAAGAATAATTCACCATGACCAAGTGGGTTTTATACTAGGGGCACAAGGATGGTTCAATATCCACAAATCAATAAATGTAATCCATCACAACGACTCACAAAAAAATAAAAACCATATGATTATATCAATAGGTGCAGAGAAGGCATTAGACAAAGTTCAACTTCCATTTTTGTTTAAGGTCCTCGAAATCACTGGAATAGAAGGAATATACCTCAACATGATAAAAACCATATATGACAAGCCCAAAGCCAATATTATTCTCAATGGAGAAAAGCTGAAAGCCTTTCCTTTAAGATTAGGAACAAGAAGCAAATGTTTTTAAGCTTCCTGTTTAAAGATTTTTTATTTTTTAATAAAAATGGGATTACAATTTAAAAACAAAATTACATGCTGTGTTGTGACAGACAAGAATTGCCACAATTATGCAAGACAAAATTCAGATATACTTACTTTATCATGTTCATAATCTGTAAAAACTGCATACAGTCTTTCCATGGCAAGCCTATTTTAAGCACAAAATAAATGTTAGTGTAACAATATTGCAAATAATTTGAAATATCTAGTAATAACCTAAAACATTTAACAATAAACATTTTATAAAAAAATTAAATGTACTGATAGTTCCTTAAGTCTGCTAATCTAGTTACTATTCATGATACAGACACAAATTTCTTCCTCCCCACTTCTCAAGGGAATTACACAGTATTATTTCCTCCCTTGTTTCAATTGTTCAGTTAATTTTATTTCAGATTTTTATCTTTCACATACACTTTTTAAAACCTCTTGCTTTGTTTGGACTTACATATTTTATTATTATAGGAAATCCTTTTGCTGGGAACAATTTATATACATTATTATTTAATCTCTAATAGTTGTGACTCTAACATTGAGGGAACATACTAGCTTTTTTCAATGTATTTCATATTTACTAAGTTCCTGCTCATGTGCAGGCAGTATTCTAAGCAGTGCGTATGTAGTATAGTTTTTATATTTGATTTCTTTTTGAGAACTTTAACAATTTCCTTAGATATTAAAATGATTTTTTTTTAAAAAAGACTTATTAGGCCCTTCCTTGTGGCACAGTGGGTTAAAGCACAGCATAAAGAAGCTTAAGCCACTTCCGCATGAGTTCGAATCCCGTCTGCCCTGGCAGAGATCCACAGGGCTCAGCAGACCTCTCCTGACCCACTCACTGCTCCCCTCAGTAGTGTAACTCATCGATTTGCCTGTTCTGCTCCCCACTCTGTCTCTAGTGAATACTCTCACCCTCCGCATCTCTGGCCTGTACCCCAGGTCTGTACGAATAAATAAATCTTAAAAAAAAAAAAAGATTTATTTATGTATTCAGAACAGGGGTACAAGCCAGAGGTGCGGGGGACTAGGAGGTGTGAGAGGATTCACCAGAGACAGAGTGGGGAGCAGAACAGGCTCAACAAATAACTGCTGAGGGGAGCAGCGGGTGTGTCAGGAGTTGTCTGCCACACCATGTGAATCACCTCTGGGGCCAGGGATTGAATTTACACTGAAGCGGCTGTGACCATCTTGCAGGGCTGTGCCCTTACCCATTTTGCCACCAGGGAGGGCCCTCAAATGTTTTACACTTTATCTATCCTCTTTTTTCCCAAACAGTTTTATGTAGATTATCTGAATCTTGACAATAAATTCCTTCCTTAGAAATTTTAACTTAGGCCCTTGAGAGGTATGAAGTTTTATGCTTTTTAAAGTAGTAAATTAATATTGTCATTAATAATTCTTCAAAATGAGGTGTTATTTACAAAGTAATATATTAACTGTGTTTCCATGAAAAATTTTCTTCGAGTAAATTAAAACTGATGACAACTTCAAAATTGTTCTGTACAAATGTTCTTACTTATGAGTGTGCTTTATGATCTCTGGTGAAGGGATAAATAACTTCTGAGGTGTCCTCTTGGTAACACCAATTTCTTTTACCAACTGCTGGATGCCTTGAATTATTTGTTGGGTATATTTCACTCCCACTTTGACAGCATGGCAAAAATCCTGCTGCAGAATATTCTCTGCAGAGGCTTCCAACATGACTATTTAACGAAAAAAAGAAAAAAAGGATTGCCATTAAAACCATTCACCAACATAGCATTTTCAAATACCGTGACATGATAAACATATTATGAGTCAATTTTACTTCCTAGTGGTATATACAGCATCTCTTTGATTTCTTTCATCAGAAAGATACTTCCAAAATGTAAACATGAGTAAATGAATAAAACCTTGATATCTGAAGCTAGATTATTATTGTTAAATTCTTAAATCAGAGATTCCACTTAAGAAATGAAGCAGAAGACAAACCATGCACACTTATTTTTTATAACAGCTTTATTGAGATATATTTCAAATACCATAAATATCACCTCTTAAGGTATACAACTGTATTTCTTTTTAATATGTACTCAAAATGAAATTATAAAAATATGCAACATAAGCGGTTTTCAATAAATGTTTCCTGATTAATAATTCCACCTATATCTGACTCATCATATTATCTAATTCTTGCATGGGAGGAGAATCTTTGTAGGTTTCAAGTAAGCAACTCAAGAGTCCTATCTACTACCATAAAAAAAGTTGCTTTTATGGTTCTGTAATAATAAATCTCTCATGTAAAGCAGGGAGGGTACAAATTAGGGGTTCTAGCCTGGTATCTAATAAAATCTATATTCTGCTTTGATTTTGGCTTCTGTAAGACTGAAAAGGTAGACTGTTGCTTATTTGTATGTTATTTCTGAACTTGCACAAAGTCAAAGATGATGTGAATGTATAAGTTACCATCATATCTTATGAGTTTAACCATACATGCTATCATTAAGATTATTATCTAAATTGTCACTTCTAAGGCTTTTGGTGTAATCTAAAAGGAAGGGGGAAATCCTGTTATGTATTTTATGTATGATAATTACATTGCCAATTGAAGCAGACTTGTGAAAAGTAACAACAAAAAGTATAACGTATCTGTCATTGGAGCTCTGAAAAGAGAAGAGAAAGGGAGCAAGGTAGAATAAAGTATTAGGAAAAAAAAACCTAAATAATTCCCCAAATTTGGCAGAAATATATATTTACAGATTCAAGATGTCAAAGTAAACCAAAGAAAGTCATACCATAATCAACCTTCTGAAAATCAAAGACAAAAAAATAAATAAATAAAAAATAAAAATGTTGAGAACACTCAGAGAAAAATAACCTTAGTTTAAGGGAAATACAATTTACTATTAGTAAAAATCATGGAAGTAGCATTTTATTTTTCAAATGCTGAAAAGAGTTGTCAACCCAGAATCCTATACTCAGTGAAAACAGGAATAAAGGAGAAACAGACTTTTAGACAAAGAGGAACTAACAAAATTTGTCACTCATCTATACCCTAAAAGTATGGAAAGTTCTCTAAACAGAAAGATAGTAATAAAGGAAGAAACCATGCAATATAAGGAAGAAAAAGAACATATTAAGTAAAAATATATATAAGTTCAATATGCTTGTTTTCTCTTAAGTTTTCTAAATTCGGTTGGATGGTTGAAGCAAAACTAATGTGGTTCTGGCCCTCCCTGGTGGCACAGCAGGTTAAAGCACAGGACTAAGAAGCTAAAGCCACTTCCGCATGAGTTCGATCCCTGCCTGCCCCAGAGGTGACCCACATGGTGCGGCAGACCTCTCCTGACCCACCTGCTGCTCTCCTCAGCAGTGTACTTCATTAGTCAGCCTGTTCTGCTCCCCTCTGTCTCTGGTGAATCCTCTCACTGCCTCTGTACCTCTGGCCTGTACCCCAGTTCTGTATGACAAAATAAATAAATCTTAAAAAAAAAAAACAAACAAAAACTAATGTGGTTCTAAATATAAAATATTAAAACCTAAATGAATGAGTTAGGTTTAAAACCTTAACAAGCGAGTTAGGTTTTAGTACTTCACAAGAGCAAGAGGCTTCCTCTGGTAACAACATACTGAGATGATTGTATTTTGTTCATCTATATTCTCACAACACCCTTTTTCACTTTCACAAAATTAAACTGAATTGGATATTTAAGAAAAAAATGTATCTAATGTTTACAAATGATACCTCAATGAACTGATTTTAAAAAGATACGAAAATGTCATAAAAAATGAATATTGATATTCAAATAAACTTAGTTTTCACCTATTCATTTAAAGTATTTTGTTTTACAAAATTCTTTATAAATTCCTTATAGCTATGGATTTACAGACCTGTGTAGTCCATTGTGGTAACTACTAGCCTCATTGGCTATCTGATTTTAAATAAAAATTATTTAAAATAATAAAATCCAGTTTGAGCCAGATCTACTGTGTATTTTTATGTACTTTATGCCACATAATTCAGATCTAAAACATTTTCTTCACTACAGATTTTTATTAGATAGCATTGGTGCCGAGGCTAAAAGCTTAAACAAAAATCTTATTAAATGATTGCTCTAAATTCTTTTGACATTTTTTTTTTAAGATTTATTTATTTGTGCATATAGAACTGGGGTACAGGCCAGAGGCACAGGGGTGGTGAGAGGATTCACCAGAGACGGAGTGGGGAGAACAGGCAGATTTATGAAGTACACTGCTGAGGGGAGCAGTGGATGAGACAGCATGTGGGTCACCTCCCTGGCTGGGAAAGTGCTGCACTCGTGCTGACGTGGCAGCGGCTAGCCTCATAGTCCTGTGCCATCAGGGAGGGCCCTCAGCCATTTTTAGTAGTTGAAGATAAAGAATTCTAAGATTTAGTTCATGTTATCAAATCTAGATACAAATTCTAGAAACAAAGGTATAAAATTCTAGATACAATTGTTATTGGCATAACCCCCACTCACAATTATTTCCAGAATGAAGAATGATATCCACTGAAGAAAAATACTGAAACAAACAACATCCAATACCACAAAGAAATTATTCTTTTCCTACAAGGTCATGCTTTAAATATTCATATCACCATATATTTTATTTATTTTAAGGATTTATTTATTTATTCATTTAGAACTGGGGTACAAGCCAGAGGTACAGGGGCAGTGAGAGGCTTCACTGGAGACAAAGTGAGGAGCAGAACAGGCAGACTGATAAAGTGCACTGCTGAGGGGAGCAGCCGGAGAGGTCAGGAGAGGTCGGCCACACCATGTGGGCCACCTCCGGGGCTGGGGGTGGAACTTGTACTAAAGCGGCTGCAGCCAGCTTGCAGTGCTGCGTCCTAACCTGTTGTGCCACCAGGGGGCACTTCACCATATATTTTAATAACTAAATGGTGGCAATTACTTTTTTATATTTTGTACCCTAGAGGTTTTATGTTTGACGTGGGTCCAAAGTTAACTTCAACACGGGAACAGAGGATCTAGTATATACTTATTTAGTGCATCTTTATTAAAGTACAAAATGTTGGCTGAGTGTCTTCATGGAAAGAGATGCAAAAGCCATAAAGTAGAGGCTCATAATCACCTCCTTACAGATTGAATCATTCTCAGTCTCCCTAAGATTATCATCTTATGGTTTGTGTAGTACCTAGTGTCATTCTTCCATCTATAGTGCAACCAACTAAGTTTCTGTGGTATGCCATGGAGTCTGTGAAGCTCCTTAGTTCACTCTTTCAATGTCTATTTTATATTGTTTGAATTCTGTGTCTTAATCTTCACAAAATCCTGTAAAGGAGTCAATTAATTTACTCATTGGAAATAAATGAACACTGAAACTTCAGAAAAAAGAAAATTCAGGCATTGACCAAGTGAACTTTAAACAGAAAACCAGGTACTTGGCCTTTTCTGAGATGGCTCAAATATAATATTAGGGTCATATGTTATTCATGACTTCTCTAATCTTTGGAATACTATCGCTATATCATGAGAGTTCTCTAAAGTATGAATCCTACCTTCCGGAGGTAGAAATCCAAAAATCATTTCCTCTCACAGTCAAGGATTCATTTATATCTAATAATTGTACCCAATGAGAGTTAAGTGGAACCTGCTGTATGGAGATTTCTGAAGATAAGGAGGTGACTTACTCATCTGCTACTCATGTTTTTATTATTCACTTCCTTTTCATTCCTCCGGCCTAGAGATCAGGTAAATTGGCGAGAACTCTAGTAGCCAGTTCATAAGCATGAAAATGAGGGCAATATCTCAAGAACAGAAAAACAAAAAAGCTAGAAAATTTAAGATTTCTTAAGGCATAATGGAGGTGGACTGTTCTAGATTCACCATCGCTAAATTTCTTTGATCTGAGAGAAAACTAAATTCCCATCCTGTTTGTACCTTGTTATTGAACAACATAATCCCTAAAACTATATTGATAACATAGGAGTTTTTTGTACTTTGTTTTTTTTAAGATTTATTTATTTATTTATGCATTGAAGAACTGGGGTCTAGGCCAGAGGTGAAGGGGTAGGAGGTAAGAGGATTCATCTGTGAGAGAGTGGGGTGCAAAACAGGCAGATTGACTAAAAAACAATGCTGAGGGGAGCAGAGGGTGAGACAGGACAGTTCTGCTGTGCCATGCTAACCACTCGCTGGACAGGGATTAAACTACTGTTACAATGGCTGCCAATAGCTTCATAATGCTGAGACCTAACCCCTTGCATCACCAGGGAGGCCCCTACCAATAGAGGACTTAAATCTAGACTTCATCACTGACCAATATTCCAAAAGCAGAAACTAGAAATGAGTTGTTTTACACATTCATACATAAAAGCATCAAAATATTCCCACATGAGAAGACAAGTCACATACACATGCAGGTACACACCCATATACACACACACACGACCCTGACATCAAATGATGTGTAGCACAATAAACTGATGATGAGACCTTTGTCAAATTAATCACATGGCTAATTGTGTGGCACATGCTGGTTTCAAACCCAAGTTATTCTGGCTGATTAAAGCAGAACCAGTACCTGACTTTCATTCATGCAATTATGACATTTTTTCTTCCAGGGAGTAAAGGTGACACATGGTCAGTGAATTTCTTTTTTTACTTTATATTGTTTTCTACCTATAAAAGTAGGTTATCCCATTCTCAAGCGACTACCAAACAGGCTTAAAATGAGTGAATTAGCAATATTAACATAAACTAACAAAGCAAGTTATCACTAGGGTTAGAACTTGAATTTTTAGGCTAATTTATTAGTCTAAAAATAATTACTAGAATTACCTTGGTAAATATAGATATTTGTATATTTCAACTGAAGATGTATAACATTCTATAATTTTAAGTACCATCTACTATGAAGTAAGGGGTTTACTAAACAGAACAGCAATAAATCAAAACAATCTTGATGGACTATGACAAGACACTTATGTTAAACTGTCTTATATTAAATGTATTTTAAGAAGCCAAAATTTATCAGTAAAATCCAGAACAAATGCAGCACTTAAATTACTTACCAATCTGACTTTTAGGTGCACCAGCAACCACTAAATTTAATGTGCTAGAAGACATTTCTTTTCGTGTTGGGTTAACAACACATTCTCCATCAATCATTCCTATTCGTACTGCTCCTAAAATATATTAACATATTGGCAATTATTTAATACAACTCTCAGTTTTTAAGAAATTATTCCTAATGGCTTCAATTCCATATCTTCAGCCATAAAATCTGTATTTCTATGGATAATTTAAGGCTCAGGAAATATCTAGTCTACTCTACCTTCTGCTCTCAATAGACCACTCTGAGTTGCTTAAATAATTTCTTCATACTCCTGGTCATACTCAAGCTCTTCTCTTGGTCTAGACTCTACTTTCTCCCAGGCAAATATTTACTATCTGATTCTACTAGGGTTCAGCTTAAAAATTGAATATAACTATGTGTACTTAATGACATTTTAGTCAACAATGGGCCACATATACACCTGTCTAAATATATCTTCACAGTTAAGTGACTCATATCTGTATTTTGAGAAGCACTCTGTAACACCCTGACTTTACAAAACTTAACCTACCCCTTATATCATTTCCTTAGCATTTTGGGAACACCTTTATAATACTTCATAAATAATTGTTTACTTATGTTGAAAGGAAGCATTTTTTTCAGTGTCTATAATTTTAAGTAACTTTGTTCCTTCAATGTAGCTCACTGAGTGACACTCAATTATTTACCTAATGAATCCTTTTGATACTGCCATGATTACAATTTATAAAGGCTGTAAGTTACAAATATATTTGTTTTATCCTGAAAGATTATGCATAATGATCTCCCAGTCCAAACAGAAAACAAAAATCAAAGCACAAACAACTAAGAATTCAAAATACCTTGGAATATAAAGTTTCTAAAACTGTAATATATTGCTATCAGAAACAAAACCCAAGAAAAGGATAAAAATGTCTGAAAGACCTGAAAGCAGTTCTAGAATGTTACCTAATTCAATTTCTAAGAGTAATAAATAGAAGTCAGTAAATCTATGCACTTGCTATGGAAAGCTCATTAGTATGTCCTCAAAAAATATGTTTCTAATTTTCAAATTCCAACTTACCAACAGGTCCATTCCAAGGAATATCTGATAATGAGAGGGCTACAGAAGCTTAAAAAAAAAGAACAACAAAAAAAGCAATGAAATAAAAATATTTCATAACTTCTAGAGAACAAATGATAGTTTTAATCATTATTAAGCTTACCACCATTAATTGCTAGAACATCAGGCTCATTAATACCATCAACTGCTAATAAATTACAAAGGACCTGGTAGGAGAGAAATTCAAAGCACATAAATTTTTCATCTTTAAAAGAAAAAACAATAGCATCTTTAAAAGGTTCATATGAAAACTATAGGAAATGCCATGTGGAGCATTTATAATACTGAGCATGTTGAAAGTATTCAGTGAATACTATTTCTGTGACATAAAAATATTGTCTTCTGTTTTTAAGCATAGACAAACCAATGAATTACCTTACAATGCAATACAATGATTATATTATGTATAAAAGAAAGTAACTTGTACGGTTGTGACATCCTTGCGAAAGGCATATTTGGAAGGCATCTTTATTAAATAAAAATAAAAATGGTTCCCTGTTTAAGTTATGGGTAACTATTTTGAAAAAACCTTCAGAAAGTTTTAGAATGTAATAGGGGTTTAGAAGACCTAGTAAAAATGTCGGTAATAGAGATTAATTGTGTTGATTGTCCTCAAATCAGTTATAAGGCCAAGCCTGAGCTGTTTTCATCCACTCCAATCACTCTAACCTTTCAAACTCACCAATTTCTTTCCAGCCTCAAGACTTTTGTGCTTCTTATTACAGTACCTGAAATGCTTCTCCTACATTCCTAGGTCGGTTAACCCCTAGTTATCAGCTAAATTCAGTTATCAGCTCAAGTTGACATGGGATACATGTTAGCCTTTTAAAGATTATCATCATCTCAAAGTTACTGTAAAATGCAACAGTATTATCAAAAAAATTTTTGTATTCTTTATGTTTAGCCTAGGAAGTACTATAGAGATACAATAAATAATTTTACTTGATCTAGAAATAAAAATAAAGCCAAACAAAAAGCCACCTACTACAGAATTTACCTGTGTATCATAAAAGTAGCCAGCTGGAAAGAGTGGTCTAATTGAACGATCTGTCCAAAAGAAAAAGAAAAGACAAAAAAGAAAAAAAAAGACATGAAATAAATAGTACAGAATAGAGTAGTTGCTTTACAGTTCAAAAGCTTTTCGCAATTAAACATCAGTCTAAATAAATATTGCTAGTTGTTCTATATTTCAAGAAAAGAAAAAAATTCCCCACTGGACTGATTTACTGAGAGGGACATAGACAAGTTTAATACTTCAATTATTAGACATCATGCCTGAACCAAAACGAGCAAGGGAGGAACACACAAATCTAAAATTGGGAGGCAACTTTTCATTCTTTTCTCTTTAGTGACAGAGAAGCAGAGGAAACAGACTTAAAACCGAGAACAGACCAAAAGAAAACCTTTCCTTGGTATTCTGTACCTAATGAATGCATGTACATATACACAAACTACTAATTTCTGGGTAGAAGAGCTATAAACTATAAACAATCCTAGAATATTTAAGGACATGAAAGATTTTAAATATAGACACACATCAATAGTTGATTAATATGGCGCTTTCAGGAATTACTATGCTGAACATGAGAATGAAAAATACTATGAATAAATTCAATAACGGGCCATGTAATTTATATGCTCAACAGCAATTTACTAACTTCGTCAATAAATTGAACACGGATTATGTGCCAGTCAATATAACAAGAATGAGTTAACAAACAAAAAAGTTTTATTCTCGTGTAGCCCACACTGGGATGAGAGGATAGGCAAAGTAAATAAATCCAGGAGGCATAAATGCCATAAAGGGAATCTTAAGAGACTATATGAGACATACGGGAGAAAGATGCTTTTCCTGACCTACCAGACAGGGTTGATGTCTCTATGTTAATCTTACCTATTACACGACTAGTAAGAATTTCTTTATCAGAAGAACCAATCTCTCTTCTAAGATAGTTTGTGGGAATTCTACCTGCTGCAGCAGCCTTCTGTCTATAGTCAACCTGAGGAAGCAGTGATAAAAATGAAACTTATTAGACTTCTTTTTGTAGCAACAAACTATTTCTCAAGAACTATTATATATCATTTTTTGTGAGTTATTCACAATATATTCTAGACCAAGTGGAGAGTATTTTATTTTTAGTGTTTTGTATATCCTAGAGAAAGAACTGGTAGATGTGTATACACATATTGATTTTAAAAAGTCTCCGACTTAGTTGTCAGAGCACTACTGAGTCTTATTTTTTCCAATGATAGCTTATTCTGGTCAAGTCAAACACTGCTTTTTGGGGGACATTAATACTGTTTAGGTGTAACTGTATTTTCCTTTTCATAGGAGAAAGAAACCACAAAATCTTAGTGAACTCTTCACTAAACACATACCTGTAGATTTTCACTGAGTGAAAATGATAAAAACCTTAGTTATGATTATTTAACATTAAAGTACTCATATGCACTTGCTGTTTTTGTTTGCTTATACAACTGGACTTCTTCAAGTATGCTAACTACAATTAGAATTGGTTACAAAGCGATCACTTTAAGATCTACTAATGACTTAGTATCAAACTACTAAAGAAAATCTTTGTTGTACAAAGTTTACATTTGTACCCACTAGACACTGGACAAACATTACAAATTTTACATTTATGCTCTTTTATAGTTGAGATAAATCAGCAGATACTTACCACCAAAGGCATGAACTGAGAAGGTGAAGGTTTTGTTTTACTGACTGCTGTGACCATTACTGCAGTATCACCTGACTTAAACATAAACAACAAAGGTAAATTCCTTTAAAATCAGATATTAACACACATATAGTAACAGAAAGACTTGTAAAACTCAAGGAAGGAGAATTGTTATTCTACAACACAATGACAGTAATTATGCACAGTTGTTCGATCTTGGTCTTTAAATTCTTGATCCTTATTTGCATTAGAATATTCATAGAACTTTTTACTTTTATTTTTAATTTCAATTTTTCTTGGAGTATTACATTCTTGCTAGTGTTTCACAGTATAATACGGATTTTCACCCTCAGGTGTAACCATCATTGCATTCCCACCACAGAAATACCCATAGTCCTCACCATACCCCACTATGTTATCGAACTTTTTAAAAGCTATAGAAATAAAAGAAAATGATATTTTCTATTTTTTAATGATGAAATTTAGTTAGCATATAAATCAAAATTTCTAATTGAAAAATAGTAAGATATTTTCTTTAGAACTGTATTACAGAATAAAACAGAATTCTAGTTTGGAAGAGCTCTTAAACATTATTTAATATATCTAGTTCTTGGACTTCCCTGGTTGTCTGGAGTGGTCTGTCAAGTAATGGTCTGAATTAATTTCTAGCTCCATGATTCTATGAAGTTACATTTATGTTGTAAAGACACTTAATATTAGTCTTCACACCATTTTTAAGATGAAAAATTTAAAACCAGGATTTGTTTTTACCTGTACCACAGCAGAGCCATCTGCAAATCTGGCCAGTTTCCCAGAGGATATTTCTAATTTTCTGTTTAAAAATAAAAAAAAATCAATACATATGGACTTAGATCACCAGTAAATCCCCAGTTTAATAAAAATAATCAAGGATTCTAATATAAGAGAAAAGGTTAGCCTCTTATAAGCCTCCCCAGATTCCGAACCATCAAAAAAAAGAAAAGAATTTATAGTCATTATCCAAAGTACAAGGAGAAATTAAGAACACTTAATGAAGGCACAGCATTAATATGAATGACACACAAAATTATTTTAATCTGTTGGTGGCACAACAGATTAAAATGTCAGCACTAGGAAAAAGCTAGCCACAGCTACTTCAGCAACTGTTTTAACCCCAGCCCCCAGCCAGAGAGGTATGACCCACATGGTGCGCAGACCTGCTCCCCTCAACAGTGTACTTCGTCAATGTGTCTGTTCTGCTCCCCACTCTGTCTCTGGTGAATCCTCTCACCACTCCCCATACCTCTGGCCTATACCCCAGTTTTTGTATGCACCAAAAAAATCTTAAAAAAAAAACAACAACACTACTTTGGAGTACAGAATTTGTCTTCTCAAATGTTTTTACTCTGACAAGTTGCCTTGTTGACTAAAGTAGCCTTTTAACAAATAAATTATTTCTCCATTTAAAATCCTGCTGTGGACCCTCCCTGGTAGTACATAGGGTTAAGGCACAGCACTACAAAGCTAGCTACAGCCACTTCAGCACAAATTCGGTCCCCAGCCAGGAAAGTGACCCACATAGTGCGCAGACCTCTCCTAACCAAGCCATTGCTTCCCTCAGCAGTGTACTTAGTCCATCTGCCTGTTCTGTTCCCTACTCCATCTCTGGTGAATCCTCTCACAGTCCCTGCACCTCTGGCCTGTACTTTAGTTCTATATGCATAGATAAATAAATCTTTTAAAAAAATTACCCTGTTGCTCTCAGGACAAAATAAAAACACCTAAATATTATTGCCAGGTTCAATAATGGTGCAAAGATAAGCAATGGGGGAAAGAAGAATATTTTCAACTAATGGTGCTGGGAACAACAGGATATTGAAAAAAAAAAAAAAAACTAATGCATCTGAACTCTTTCTCATATTAATGAAAATTAACTCAAAATGGATTACAGATCTAACTATAAGGATTAAGTAATACAATTTAGGAAAAAACATGAGTGACAAAGTCTTATTTATGACATCAAAAGCTTAATTGACAAAAATATAAATTGAACCATCAAATTAAAACCTGTCTTACTTCATAGAAAAGAAAACCCACAGGAGAAAAAAATTACAAATTATGTATCTAGTATTTAGATTATATAAAGAATTCTTACAACTCAACCACAAAAGGACAAATAACCAAATTTAAAGAATTGGCAAAGGACTTGAATAGATGTCTCTCTAATGAAGACTAAAAATGGCCAGTAAGTCCATGGCAACAGGCTACCAGGGAACTGCAAATCAAAATCATAATGAAATATTATAACTAAAAAGTTATAACAAAAATATTGATGATAACGAGTACTGATGAAGGTGCAAAAAAACTGAAACATTCATACACTACTGATAGAAATGTCAAAGGGGTAATCTCTTCAGGAAATAACCTGATACTTCCTCAGAAGGATAAACAAAGAAGTATCTTACTACCCAGCAATTCCACCCTTGATTGTACACCCAAAGAATGAATGTTCATAGCAGCATTATTCAAAACAGCCCCCAAATGAAAACAACCCAAAAAGTCTGTTGACTGATGAATGAATAAACAGAATGTGGTGTAACCCATACAATAGAATATTACTCAGCCCAGACAGTGCAGTACTGATTCAAGTTACAAACTGGTAAAGTTTTGGAAACTGGTGAAGTCTTGGAACATGGTGATAGAAGTCAATCACAACAGGCCACATATCATATGATCCATTCTGTTGCACAGAATAGGCAAATCCAAAGACAGAAGGTAGATTAGTGGTTGCCTGAGCTATGGAAGATGGAAACAAAGAAAGTGATCGCTAATGGGTCCCAAGTTTCCTTTTGGAGTGGTAGAAATGTTCTGAAATTGATTGTGATAGTTTCTGCATAACTGTGCATTTATTAAAAAAATACTTTCTAAGAAGTATATGAACTATAATTTAACAAAGTTGTTATTTATTATGAGACACACATTACTGTCAGTCTTATTCCCAGTTTCTGTGAAAAGTACAGAAAAGAATTTATTGAGGGCTTAAAACTGAACAGCAAAACTTTTTTTTCTAAGAGTCCAAAATTCATGAAAGGGCATGAGGCTCATTTACTAACTATTTTTTTTTAAAGAGATAGAGTGGGGAGCAGAACAGGGAGATCGAGGAAGTACACTACTGAGGAGAGCAGTGGGCTAGACCGGTGAGGAGTGGGCTAGACAGGAGAGGTCTGCCACATCATGTGGTCACCTCTGGGGCTGGGGATCCAACTCTCATTGAAGCGGCTGTGGCTAGTTTACAGTGCTGTGTCCTAACCCATTGTGCCACCAGGGATGGCCCTTTTTACCCTCTGTACATAATAGATGTTCTACAACAATTTGTTTAAATGAAAATTAAACAGTTGTCTTAAAGGTTACTGTACTGAAACACAATTTTGAAAAAACACCTGTATATAAGTACACAATGTTCTAGGCAGTTGTAAAGAATGGATAAAACAAATCTAAACTGAATGCTACATAGTAGTCACTCAATAAATGATACAAACAACACACTTAGACAAATACTAAAGAACTGACTTACCAGCTGGTGTGTGTTATATTTAGCAATCCAGTTCTTACAAAAAAGACACAGTTAAAAACAAAACAAAACAAAACAAAGCTACCTTCCAAACGAGATCTAGATCAACTAATAAATGAAAGATTCAATGTACATTATTTATGGAAAGTCTGGAGGGCAGGGGGCTGATGTTATTTGAGTTCCCAGTGCTATGCACATACTAGGCTGTAAAATGAACGAAATGTTCTAAGGCATTTCTTCAGAGGAAAATGGTTAATCTTTTGGTCAACCTTTGAAGAAACAACATCCTCTTGAAAAAATCAAAATCAAGGGATGTTAGAGGTAGCAATGGTCCTTAGAGATCCTTGAGTGAGAGTCAACAAGCCATAGGTTGTTTCCTTACAACCTTTCAGCTAAGCATGTTTTTTTACATTTTAGAAGGGCTGGCAAACACACAATTATGTGACACACAATGTGTAGCACACAAACCCACAAGTATTCACTATTTTGCCCTTGCAAAACCCTTGCTCTAGTTCAGACTTCTTAGCAACAAAAGTAACTTGTTCAGTATCAGTCATTCACTACATTAAGAAGGCATGGATTCAAAGTCAGATTTTCAATTTTTTATATGAAGTAGGATCAATTCTTTTAAAGTACATGTATTAAATGTGTGTCTATAAAATAAACATTAGCAGTTTTATTTATTCTAAAAACAACTCAAGTCGAAATTTAAAAAAGTGATTTTGACATGTATTCTAGCAAACAGACTTCTGTATGGGCTTTGATAATAGCAAAACTCAAAACCCATTTAGTTTCATAGTACAAGCTTTGTAGTCTCGGAAAAAGTTTCTTAACCTTCTGCCAGCCTCTGCTATCTTAACTATGAAATGAGGATAATAATGCGTGTACTGCTCTTACTAAGAGTATTATGTAGCCGGGGTTTAAGAAGCTGACTTTTAACCTTCCCTTCCTATCCAGGGTCATACTAATCAATCAGTTGGATCGGATCCAGGGTCAACTCGTTATCCGGGTATGGCCATGCTCAGTTGGAAGAACGAAGCCCCGAACACGGCAAGTGTGAGAGGACCAAGAAGCAAAGGGCAGGAGGTTGGGATAGCGCGGGAAGGAAAACGTGCCAGAAGACAATGTCCAAACCCCGAAAGGGCAATGTGGTACAGCGTGGAAGGGCGAGGAAAGAAGGAGAGACCAATTTTGCCGAATTCCCATTCCTGCAGATAAATGTATTTGGGCTGGCCGGATAAGACGCCTTCTGAAAGGACGGAGAGGCGGTTCCTTACCTGTTACCTAATTCCACCGCCACAGCTCGCGATCCAGCGCCACCCCATAGTGCTCGCACCTGCAAGCGAGTGAGTACCCGATCCCTCCCTGGCAGACGAAGGGGACTATCGCCCAGCGGCCGGAGCCGGAGGCACGAGCAACATTGCCTGCAGGCCGCCATGACACAGAACACGCGATCAGCCCGGGCTGCTTCCTGATTGGCTCTCTCTACAGAGTGGGGCGGAGTCTGGTGCAGTTTCGTTTCCGTGGTGCCGAGGAGAACGCCGGGGAAGCGGACTCCAGAACCACTTTCTACGAAGTCTAGAGAGGGCCAAACTTATGTGAACACGATAGCGACCTGCTCTTTCTTCTGAGTGTTGGTCAATGAAAGACAATTCGAAAATAATGCTTTAAAAAAATTGCTTCGTAATTAAACAAAAGTCCTAGAGTAATGTGTTTGATAAGTAATGTAGTAAAAGTAGAAATACTTACGTAAACTGAGAATTGGAAGAATTTATGGAGTGGGTAATGGACTAGGATCTATCCCTCCACCCCTTTTTTATTTTATAAACTTAATAAGAAAAATATGATGCTATAAAGACTTGTGTTAATTTATTTCTGGTAAGTTGATTTCACTTCTTAATCAACAATATCATAATTTGAGTTATCCTTATTGTCATACCTGATTTATTTTTATTGTAAATATTTAGCAACTCTTTTCTCTATACTTTTGGTCAAATGTTAGCATTTTCTAAACCAAACCTTAAAGGAAAAATTCTGGGCAGTATTAGAGAAATGTTTTGGAAAGTGAAACGAATTTCTGAAATTTGAATTTGATAAATTTTTAGTGAATGGATAAATTTCTCCCACCTCTTAATCCAGTCTGTTTGAAATATTTGTACCAGGTAGTTGTGTTAAAGGGAAGGATGTCCTAAAGGAACTCTGCAGTCTTGTGGACTCCACCCTACTCCAGCTTTCAGGACCCTACCCTCTACTCCAGTGATTGGAAACTACAGCTCCAATCAGTACCAGGGAGAGAACTACAAGGGCCCAAGGGTGGCTCTAGAAGGAATTCTGGGACATGCTCTTCTGACCGTGTGACTTAGTGGTTTTAGTCAGCCAAGCAGGTAAGGTATACCAGCTACTTTGTATCCTGCTTTCTTTCCCTGGGTTGTTTCCTATTCCTTCCCCCTTTTGTAAATAAACCCGTTATTGACTCTTTTGTGTGTACCTGCAGTAAAACTGAATTTTGAACATGCGGGTGAGGCCCCAGAGACAGGCGGCTCAGTCCACTCTCCGGTCATGGCTCTCTTATTTACCAGTTGTGTAACCCTATCTTTTTGAATCAGTTTCCTTAATTATAGAATTAGATAACAATGATTTAGAATTTGACAGGGTTTTTTTGCAAAGATAAAATGTGACAGGGAACATAAGATGTTTATCATAGTGTAGGCACTCATAAATGGTAGGTTCAGGAGTTGGAGATCTTGAGATTTTGTTATGAGTTAGACATATAGATGATATAGAATACGTTTATTTTAAGCATTTTAATTACAAAAACAAAAATATAAACTATTGATACATTCTTGTGGTTTAACTATCAAAGCTATGATGGATGAGGCTCAATCTAGAAGTCAGTTTAGAACTGCTAATTATACAGTCAAATATAATTAAAAGGAAACTTATTTCCCTTTTTTTTTTAAAAAGATTTATTTATGCACGGAAGACCTTGGGTACAGGCCAGAGGTGCCGGGGCGGGGAGCTGTGAGAGGATTCACCAAAGGCAGAGAGGGGGGACAGAGTGGAAAGCAGAACAGGCAGATGTACTGAAATAACACTGCTGAGGGGAGCAGCAGGTGAGTCAGTAGAGGTCTGCCGTGCTTTCCTATGACTCTTGAAGGACTTTAAAGGTGATCCAGTTTAAATCTACCAGCAAAGTATCTTAGATCTCTTCTTTTTTCTTAAACTCCAGTGAACTGCATTAAAAGAGTTAATACCATTGCACACTTTGAGTAGTAATTTCATTTAAGTAAAACATAATTACACTAACTTGTTATTAATTAAAATTTAACTTGGTTTGTAGTTTTATAGAGACAGTGTATATACCTGTTTTATTAGGAAGGGCTACATAGCAAGTTTATATTTTGTCATGTATTTGTACAATTCAAGTAACATTATGATGCAAAGTATGAGCAGACACAAAGGGTGTGTGAGAGCTGTTTCTCTTTAAAGAATGTAGCCTACTTAAGAGCGATTGCTCTATACCAGAGGGATTTTTCTGTATCACAAATCTAATTGTGTCTCTATCCTAATTAAATGGCTTCCTAAATCTTTAATCTATAGGGTAAAATCTAAACTATAAACATGGCCTTTCCTACTTAGTATCATCAAGTTCTTTTTATTGTTCTGGTTTCTTTCCTCCTCATTTGATATAGAAGTGAACTGAACCACTTATCCACCTGTAACATGCCACCTCTTCTAAATAACTTATCTTGCCTGTCGCACAGTTTATTGCCCATTAAATCCCAAATTCCCTTTTCTTTGTCTAGTTGTTTCTCCATAGTTTTTTGGACTTTGTTAAAATGATACAACCCTTGAACCTAGCTACTCCCCCCCCCCCAGTTTTCACTTCTTTTTTGCACATAAAAACATGAACATCAATAAATTTTAAAATATATATTATATGTAATATATATATATTTTTTTCCTTTTTGAACAGTGTTTGATTTCTTGTCCTGTTACAGGGTAGCCCAGAGTGAACTGGGCTGCTGTCTGTGGGTCCTCACCCTCACTTTAAATTCAGTTATTCTGGAGGCACACATAAAAGGGTAATGGGTTTATTTACAAAAGGGGCAAGAAAAAGGAACAACTTAAGGAAAAAGAGAAAGAGATACAAGGTAACTGGAATATCTTACCAGCTCTGCTAACTTACAGCTCTAGTAACAAAACTAACTGCTAGCCCCCAGTCACTTGGTCTGAGAGCCAGCGTTGTTCCAGGGAGAAAGAGCCATTACCTCTCCAGAGGGACCGTTGAAAAACTGCTGTCTGTGTATCCCCCAAAGTCCCAGAATAGCTGCTTAGCTTTGCCCTTGGGTCCTCCCAGTTCTCTCCCTGGTACTGCTGGGAGTTGTAGTTTCTAATCACTGGAGTAGGGGGTGGAATCCAGAAAGCTGGAGTATGGAGTGGAGTCCACAAAACTCTGCAGAGTTCCTTTAGAGATTCTTCCCCTTAACACTCCCAGATATAGTCCCCCTAGAACCCCACCACTGATTCACCCATGAACCATCATCATAGTACCTTATTCTCTTCCCACCCCCTGTTTTGATCCCTCTCCTGCCTCCTCCCCTGCAGAATGTCTCTGATTTATAGTTGTCTGCTAATTTTGTTATTTACTAATTTTTTTCCTGATCCCTTATTTAGCTACCCTATGTTCCTTCTATAAGTGAAACCATCTAATGTTTTTCTTTTTGACTTATTTCACTGATCATAATCCTTTCCAGTCCATCCATGTTGCTTGGAATGGCATGAGTTATATTTTTGAATGCTGAATAGTATTCTACTGTATATATACACCACATCTTTTTGAGTCAGTTATCTGTTTTAGGGCATTTAGGTTGTTTCTATATCTTGCCTATTGTAAATAGTGCTGCAATAAACATAGGGGTGCAGGTATCCTTTCAAATTAATGTTTTTGTGTTCTTTGGGTAGATTTCTAGGAATGGAATTGCTCAGTTTTTAGTGATTTGTGAAATCTCCACACAACTTTCATAGTGGATGGATCAGTTTACATTTCTACCTGTAGTGTTAGAGTTCCTTTTTCTTCACATCCTCACCAACATTTGTAGTTACCAGTTTTTTTTAATAGAACATCAATACAATTTGTATGTTTTTTTACACGTTAATCTCTCCATTATCATTATAATTCATAGGCTTCAACTGAACATAAGAGGATAGAGAAAAAGTTTAAGAAGATAATCTGTCCCTCTCTGTTACGGATTTTTTTTTTTAAGATTTATTTATTTATTCATACAGAACTGGGGTATAGGCCCGAGATGCGGAGGGTGAGAGGATTCACCAGGAACAGAGTGGGGAGCAGAACAGGCAGATGGACGAAGTACACTGCTGAAGGGAGCAGCGGGCGGGCCAGGAGAGGTCTGCCAAGCCCTGTGGATCTCTTCCCGGGCTGGCCTAAGCTTCTTAGTGCAGTACTTTAACCCACTGCGCCACCAGGGAGGGCCCTGTTACAGATTTTTTAAGATAGCTATATGACCAGACCCCACCAATGGCCTCATTTGTTACTGTGAGGAAAGAGAAAATGGGTTAGAAAACTTCTTTCTGTTAGAATAGTCACCTAGCCTTGCTATAAAGGTTCAAGCATCCCTTCTGTATTTTCCCCAGGAATCAAGGACATTCAGCAGTTTTGGGGTTCTGGAACATTTGAATAACTGAAAACTCTTACCTATCGGTCAGGGAATAGGAACAACTTAGGTTATGGATGGATAATAGTTGCTGCTATATTTTTGGAAAAGGATAGGGATAGTAAAAATCCCTTCAGCCTCTCTTTGTTCCATGATATGCTGAAATTTCTCTCTTTTCCAATAAAAGATGGGATAATTAATTGCTTTTGTCAGTGGGACTCGGGTCAAGGTTAGAGATGGTTGGATTAGAAAGGATTATAAAATGTTGCTTCATCTATAGAGATAAAGAAGTCTACTAGAGACACAGATTTGTTAAGATAATTGTGATAAATGTGCCAGGGGCCTCTTCAAATAAGGCTGCCCAGGTCTCATTTTCTTTTATTCTGTCTGATAGAGTTAAAAGAAAGAGAGAGACATAAGGAATGAAAGGTAATGTGTTATATTGGTGTGACTAGTTAAGAATAAATAAAATCTTAAAAAAAAATTATTGGGTTTAAATCTCTGCTCCACTCTACCCACTGAATGACCTGGAGACATGTTCTAATAACAAAAATCTAGTTGCCTGTTCTGTAACACAGAAACAGCAAGAGTGCTTACTGTATAAAGTTATCAATAGAACATAGTATTTAATAAATACTAGCTACTACTAATTCTAAAAGGAATGACATTGAAAAATATTTAGCTAATGGTATTAAAAAATTAGCTATACTATAAAAATATAATTCACTCAAAACTTTCATCATCTTTTTTGATGAATTGAGGGTTGGTAAGAAAATATCAATATCATGTTATAATAATCAGTGATGCAAGCAATAATCTAGCAACCATGCAGTGTGATAGGT